CGGGAAAGATACTGGGATTTTTTTTATATACGAATAATGGCCGCGATCAGCGACTTATGGCGGTGATCAGCGATTTATGACAGTGATCAGCGACTTATGGCGGACATTTTGACACTGGGGGGCAACTAATGCCTGAAACTGGCACATGCGCAGATACGTCGAGGGGGACAGATCCTCATAGGAGACAGATTTTCATGCTACACCGGAACGGCGCGGGAACACGGCGAAAGGAACGCGCGGAGCAAAGGTAAGTGAATTGACACAGGGGGGACTTGGGGACTTAATATGGGGGATGAATTAATATGGGGAATGAATTACTATATGGGGGATGATGAATTACTATATGGGGGATGATGAATTACTATGGGGGATGAATTACTATAGGGGGGATGAATTACTATAGGGGGGATGAATTCCTATAGGGGGGATGAATTCCTATAGGGGGATGAATTCCTATAGGGGGGATGAATTACTATGGGGGATGAATTACTATGCTTACTATGGGGGAATATTACTATACTTACTATGGATGACACATACACATCATTCATCTACTCTTGGTCCGGCCCCCGGGTCCAATATATGAACCCATTGCGGCCCTCAAGTCAAAAAGTTTGCCCACCCCTAATCTAGCCAATCCACCCAGGCATACACATTGAGCCTATTATCTAAACCCTTTTAAATATTGAACAGTATTCATCAAGGGTTCCCTCTGTCCTCATCCATACTCAACCTTCTGATACTGCCATTAGCCAAGGCCATTCACTTTCACTCCTTATTAAGCTGCTTCAAGTTCCTCTATAGGCCCCACACTATAAATCTTTTCGTAGATGATGTTCTCTTACTTTTAACTAATCAACTGCATCACTTCCTAAAGTCTTAACAGAGTTGAGCGTTTTATCCTATTATAAGGTTAACTTCACAAAAACCCTAATTTTGAATTTAGGGGTTTCCAAGCCTATCCAACAATCCTTGATTCAACAATTGCCCTACACCTGGGCTGAGGCAGGTACAGTTGTGTTCAAAATAATAGTGTGTTGAAAAAAGTGAATAAAGCTCAAAATCCTTCTAATAGCTTTTATTTCCATACACACAAAATGCATTGGGAACACTACACATTCTATTCCAAATCAAAACATGAAGAAAAAAAATACCAAATGTGTTGTTCCTCTAAAAAATTGAAGAAAAGTGAATATTAGACTGTTCAAAAAATAGCAGTGTTGTATTCTTCTTTACAAACTCAAACATTCACTATATAAAAACTGAAAAATGTTTGAAGATTTTTCTTTCCTTTGAATCACTTAATATTTAGTTGTATAACCACTGTTTCTGAGAACTGCTGTACACCTGTGTTGCATGGAGTCAACCAACTTCTGGCACCTGTGAACAGGTATTCCAGCCCAGGATGATTGGACTACATTCCACAGTTCTTCTCTATTTCTTGGTTTTGCATCAGAAACTGCATTTTTGATGTCACCCCACAAGTTTTCTATTGGATTAAGATCCGGGGCTTGGGCTGGCCACTCCATAACGTCAATCTTGTTGGTCTGGAACCAAGATGTTGCACGTTTACTGGTGTGTTTGGGGTTGTTGTCCTGTTGGAACACCCATTTCAAGGGCATTTCCTCTTCAGCATAAGGCAGTATGACCTCTTCAAGTATTCTGATGTATTCAAACTGATCCATGATCCCTGGTATGCGATAAATAGGCCCAACACCGTAGTATGAGAAACATCCCTATATCATGATGCTTGCGCAACCATGCTTCACTGTCTTCACAGTGTACTGTGGCTTGAATTCAGTGTTTGGGGGTCGTCTGACAAACTGTCTCCGGCCACTAGACCCAAAAAGAACAATCTTACTTTCATCAGTCCACAAAATGTTGCGCCATTTCTCTTTAGGCAAGTCAATGTGCTCTTTGGCAAATTGTAACCTCTTCAGCACGTCTTTTTTTCAACAGTGGGACTTTTTGGCTGTTCTTCTATCCATTCGAATGGAAGTTTTTCGCTTTCTTCCACGTCTTTCATGTTTTGGTTGCCATTTTAAAGCATTTGCGATTTTAGCTGAGCAGCCTATCATTTTCTGCACTTTTTTTTATATGTTTTCCCCTCTCCAATCAACTTTTTAATCAAGGTACGCTGTTCTTCTGAACAATGTCTGGAACGACCCATTTTCCTCAGAATTTCAGAGAGAAATGCACTGTAACCAGCATGTACAACATTTGCTGCCTTCCTTCCTTAAATAAGGGCAATAATTGCCACCTGTTTTTCAAAGAATGAATGACCTCACTAATAGAACTCCACACTGCTATTTTGAACATGCCCCTTTCAATTAGTGATTCAATTACACAGAACCAGCAGCATGCATGTCATGACTGTTGGGTCTGTTGGATTTCTATTACTCTACTACACCTGCTAGCAAATTATTTGCCATGTAGAAATATCATTTCTATCAAAAACAGTGATTGATCAGGTTAGTGATGTCTGACTGCTATTATTTTGAACACAACTGTATACCATACCTTGGCATAGTACTAAGCTCTTCTATCGCCTCCATGGTGGAAGCCAATTATAAACACTTCAATAGCAAAATGGAAACAGAATTTTGCCACCACTCTCAAGTTTAAAACTATCCTGGGCTGGTAAGCTGGCCCTCCTTTAAAAATGTTAATCCTGCCTCAAATCCTATACTTATTTTGAATTTTTCCCACCCCTCTCAATTCTTCCTATCTAGCATCCTTAACCTCATTTTCAAAGCCTATGTCTGGCAAAAGAAAAAAGCCATATTTTCATACTCCCAGTTAGATATGCATAGGAAAGCAAGGGGGATCAGTATAGTCGGTAAATTAATACGCTGCAGTACATCTAGATCAGCTGAAACACTGGGTCCATACTCCCAATAAGCCGCTATGAATCGATATTGGAACAGCCTTAAAGAAAACAAATGACTTGCGTCTCCTTTTGTTGACAGAAAAGTAGAAGCAGTTAGACCTAGATGCACTCCCTATTATTACTAAAATCTCTCTCCTGGTGTGGAGGTCCCTGAACCATCCCTCTTTTCACGATTCTCTGAATAGCGACATTCAATTCCCTCTTGATAGAACTACTCATTCCACACTTGTCATTTACAAAGTGGTGCCACTATGGTATTCAGTAGATTGAAGATCTCTGCTCAGGCAAAAGGCTTGGCAGTAGAAGAAATTTGGGGCAAAAAAACCCCAAAAAACCAAAACAAATTCCAGACACTGAACAATTTACACTGCTCCAATTACAATACTTTCTATTCTCATCCCCACTTCCCACAGCCCACAGGTATATCAATTCTATACCCTATATCCAAAATCCAAGGGGCATCCCCCTCTTTTATAATCTGCTACAAAGTATAGGGTCTTCACCAAAACTAACCCAATACTGAAATGGGAAAGGGATCTCCATCAATCTTTTACTCATCCCCAATGGCTAAAAGCTTTTCAGTATACATATACCATATTGCACTGTGTCAACCACTGGGAGCTTGCCCAAAAAATAACCCAACGGTATCTTATTCTTCATCGTTTAACACAGTTTTCATCCACGAATTCCTTCTGCTGGTACGGTTGTGGTCACATGAGGAATTCATATTTTTTGTATCTTCTTTCCTGTTGATATGTATTTGGCTATATATACTGCTCCAGGTGTGTAAAAGCAATTGATTTCCGATTCCTTGTCAGGTTTCCTTCTGTCTCCCCTCCCCCCCCCCCCCCCATCTATTTCTTCTTTAATTTTTCTCCATTTTGTCTCTCTCTTACAATATGACTTCCCTGCATGGCAGCGGTGTCCTTTAATCCACATAACGTATTGTTATTGCTTGCTAATTAAAACAAACATTAAGTAAAAATATCACCATTCCCCTAGCACCCCTCTAGATATGGTGACAGCAGGTGACCACTCTTTCATCCCTCTACGAAACTATTCTATTAAAAAAGTCACAAAGTCTTTGCGACACTAGCCCCAAATTCTCCTCGCCTTTTTGGTTCTATCCAGAACTTGACAGACTCTGCACTCTCATTCTCTTTGTAGCACCAATTAACCCACTTTACCTTTAAACACAATGTTCTTACCACTTTACCATTAAAGTGTTACTAAACCCACAAAAGTAAAATCAGTCTATATATGCAGTAAAGGATGCTTGTTATTCTCACTGTGGAACCTAAGGAGTTAATCCTCTGCATTGTGTAAAAAGGCTGTTTGATCCTGTTTTCTCTACCCCTCCTCTTGTTCAAATGTCCACCTGATAATGTGACTGAACCCGTAGTCACATGCACCTGCTCAGTTTGGTGTGTATTGCTAGAGAGATTTTTGTTTTTTTTTTTACTTGGGATAGTGCATGTGATCAGCACAGGGCCAATCAGCACTGTCCAGACATAGGGTCAGGGGTTTTGCATCCTCCTAGAGCAGAAAGAAAACTCCTCCTACAAGCTTTAACCAGTGATCTGCTGAAGTCACAAGACTTCTCTAACTGCTGATGAGAAAAGGTATTTAGCAGGGATTTTCAAGGTTTTGATGACATCTGGGTAAATAGTAGGGATCATATAAAACAAAAGTGTCATTGTACTAAAATATATATATATATATATATATATATATATATATATATATATATAATATATATATATATATATATATATATATATCTATATCTCTTTATTGTACCCCAGCCTTGCTAATGTTTTCAATTCCATCATGTATCTTGTCGATAAGAGTGCCACTGACACGGATGCCAGAGAGCAGGCTTTAGACGAGCGCATTAGACAGTGCTGAATAGCACCTTAAGGCCTCATACACACTGGGCATTTAGCCCCAGTGCATGCCCAGAACACAAGCAGGCTGAGTTCCAAACACTCGTCACAAACTGCCCCAAATGTTAGTAGCGCTCGGTGCACCACCTAGCCAAGCAGCTGTCAGCCTCTCAGTCTTTTTCAGGATCAATACAGGGAACTTTTGAACATAATGAAAGATAAACTTACTTGTATTTGATCAGTCGTGCTCCTTGAATGAGTTGAGCTCCTTCATTGGTAAAGTGACACGCAAACAGAAGCCAGTTTCTGGGCTGAACCTTATAAGCAAATCTCATGAACAGCAATGAATAGCAGGTAAGAGCTGAAAGGCAAGCAATATGCATGTCATTACCAAATGAATCATATGAATATAGCCCACAAAATACTGTAAATCTTTCACCTTCTCTATTTTAATACTGAATCCATTTTATTGTATGTTCAGCTATCTAGAAAATGTATTTAAATAATGTCATCTCCGAGCCAGCATTTCAGCCCAGATGCTATCAAATATAGCTCAACTTTTGTGTGCGTGTGTGGTGGGGGGGGGAAAGAAAGGCAAGTAATGTATTCTCTGTGAGATGTAATAAATACCTCCAAGATGATGTTTCAAGACAACATCAAACACCAAGTCAAGAACACAGACATCTCAGGAGTGCTTTTGTTAAAATCATTTATAAGGTTTAGCAAAAACAAGGGAGAATTGAACAGAGGGGAGAATCAGAACACATCAAGTAATACAGTAATTATGTTACTGGAATGTAACCTTTGTCAAAAAAACTGAGGATTTTTAACAAACTTCACACCCATATGTCTTTATATTTCAATAATTTTCATTGATTTTCAGGGGTAAACAGGAAAACAACAGGGAAAACAGGGAGAGAAATAGGGTTCAATCATATAATATTACAGTAAACAGTAAACATATAAAGGTTAATCATTTTGTTGTAGATCAGTCCACTGAACGATGGGGTGTTGATCTCTTTCAGCAATATCAGAGGTATTCATAGTATTAGATGTAATTTAGTGAAGAGTATGGGGGATTAGGGGAGGTGGGATATTGGCGGAGAAGTGAGGGAGGGTAGGACTGGGGAGGGAGGAACATAACTGGGGAGTTGAGATACCAGTCTTGGTGTGGGGTGTGAATTCATTTCTTGGAATGTCATCAGGGTTATATATAGCATTTTGGGTGGTTTAACCATCTGGTCCACTGGGTATTGAATTTGTGGTAGGAGGAGGTATTGATTGCGGAAAGTTTTTCCATTTGGCATTGAGTATTGAGGTCTGTAATTATTGAGGAGATTGAGGGGGTATTATTTGTGTTCCATAATCTAGTAATATTAATTTTGGCGGCAAAGAGTATGTGGGTAATAATTGTTCGGGAAAGTGGAAGGAGTTTCTCGGTTCCAATGTGTAGGAGTGCTAATGAGGGGTTCGGGACTACCGGAGTTTCGTTTACTTCAGAAATTAATTGGAATGTAGTATTCCAGAAGGAGCGAAGCGATTTGCATGACCATAAAATGTGAAATGTTGAGCCTGTCTCCCCACAGAGTCTCCAGCATGTAGATGATTGTTTCAGGTAGTAGATGGAAAGTTTAACCGGGGTCAGGTACCATTGGTGGAGTATTTTTAGATATAACTCCCAGCTACATCGGGTAGCCTTATAGGTAATGTTGAAGGTATTTTCCCAACATTGTAAAGATATTTGGGCTGAAAGGATTTTTTCCCAATTGGTTAGGGAGGTTTTTTGCAAAGTAAATTGTGAGTTTATGATGTGTGTATAGAAGGAGGATATACCTTTACCTGGGTATTGGGGTTTGGTGAAGAAGATGTAGGCTGTATTAGGCATTGTAGTATTGTGGGGTAATTTAGTTGTTAGAAGATAATGAGCGATTCTGAGGTATGTAAAGTATTCAGTAGTAGGAATATTGTATTTGAATTGAAGCGTTTGGAATAGGCATAAGGATTGATTGGTGTAGAGGTCTCTTATGTTGGTTATTCCTTGTTTTGTCCATTGAGATAGGTCTAGTGAAGGAATGAGGTGTAGTACATTGGTTGGGGTAGGTACATGTTTGGTGTCTTTGAATTTGGTGGATAGAAGGTCTCTCCAAGCTTGTAGGGAGGCTACAATGCAGGGATGGTTTAGTTGGGGTGGTATGCCTTTGGACGGTGGGGTCAAGAGTATATTTTGGGGTTTAATAGGTTGAAAGGGGAGGGTTTCCATTGTGGACCAAATTTTTTCTTTCGAGGGGTTCCACCAAAAGTATAATTGGTCTAAAAGGGTAGCTGTGTAATAAGATTTGAGGTGTGGGAGTCCTGCTCCCCCTTTAGTTGTAGGTCTAATGAGAAGATTGGTGGTACATCTTGGTTTTTTCGAGTTCCATATGAATTTCGTGAGGATTGGTTGTAGTTTGGAAAAGTATGTATTAGGAACTGGTAAGGAAAGTGTGCGGAATGTATACAAAATTTTGGGTAAAATATACATTTTCAAGGTTGCCACACGGCCTAGTTTGGAGAGCTCTGAGGTGCGTAGAGTGTTTAGTTCTCGTGGTATAGTTTCAAGCAAAATTTTGTGGTTTGCTGTGTATAGATGGTCCGTCGTTGGTGCAAGTCTGATTCCTAGATAAGGAATGCTGTTTGTTTCCCATGAAAATGGGAATTGTTTGGTAATTGGGTTTGGAGTTGAGTAGAGATGTGAAGGTTAAGTATGGAAGATTTGGGTTCATTAAGTTTGTAGTATGAAACTGTTGAGTAAGTTAGTAGGTGTGAGCGGATCGTTTGGAGGGATTTTTTAGGGTTGGTCACCATTAGTATTATATCGTTCCTGCAAATAAGCTGATTTTGTGTTCTATGTTTGGGTGCATTATTCCTCTAAATGTTTTGTCTTCCTCTGAGTTTGGAAGCTAGGGGTTCAATAAGGAGTGTAAATATTATTGGGGAAAGTGGACAGCCTTGTCTTGTGCCATTTGTTATGTCGAAGGGGTCGGATAGTGTGCCATCTGTCAGCACTCTAGCAGACGGATGAGAATATAATGCCAAGATGGCCTTCATCATCCAACCTGTGATGCCAAATGTATGAAGTGTCAGTTGCATGAATTGCCAGTGTATATACGGTCAAACACTTTTTCTGCATCTAAAGATAGGAGCAAGGAGGGTGTCTTGGTGTGTTCTAAATTGTGCAGTAGGGAGATAATTCTTCTGGTAGCATCGGGTGCTTGTTTACCTGGGATGAAACCTACTTGGTCCGGGTGTATTAGATTGGGTAGGTAGAGGAGAATCCTTTGGGATATAATTTTTGCATCTATTTTAGGTCGGTATTGAGTAGCGAAATTGGTCTATAGTTCTGGACTAGTTTGGGATCTTTGTTAGGTTTTGGTATGGTTGTTATGATAGATTGCAACATGTCTTTGGGGAATGAGCCTGGGTGGCCGCGTAATTGAAAAGCTTGGTCAAGTGTGGTGATAGGTGTTTATAGTATTGTTAGTGTAGCCATCATTTCCTGGTGACTTATTAATTGGTAGTGTTTTTGATGGACTTTTCTATTTCTTTGGGTGATATTGGGCTGGAGATGGTGTCCAGTTTGCTCTGAGGATAGCTGAGGAAGATTGGTTGTTTGGAGAAATTTTTGTATGGAGTCTGACGTTGGTTGAATGCTATTCGGGTCGTTTTTCAGGTTGTAAAGATTTTGGTAGTATACTGCAAAGCGTTTGCTATATCCTGGGGGTTCGTGTTTTAGGGTATTCGTAGATGGGTGCTTAATTGAGGCTATTTTGGATTTCAGACGTTTTTGTTTTACCGATTTGGCTAGCAACGAGCTGGCTTTGTTACCCAGTGAGTAGAATTTCGCTCATTTTCTGGAGGTTTAGATCGTATTTGTGGAGTAAAAGGGATCTTAATTTATTTCGATCTGCTGTCAAAGACGCAGACGTTTACCAGGTCTTGGGATGTTTTGTTTTTTTCTTCGTTTATTTTGATTGATGTTAGAAAATTATCTATTTGTTGGGTTCTGTTTTTATTAATGCGGGCGTTTAGTTGTATAAGAATACCTCTCATGTATGCTTTATATGTTGACCATAAAGTGGTTATGGATATATCGGGGGTATCGTTAAAATTCAAAGAATGTTTTGTGGGCATTATCTGTTGCTTGTAGTCTTGGTTTTTCAACAGGAACGAGTTCAATCGCCATAATTGGGGTATAGGTGAGTGTTTGCTGTCAAGTGAGATTGTGATCGAGCATGGTCTGACCATGTAATGGTGCCAATCTTGGATGAGGTGATGTGTTGCAGCATCCATTTATCAGTGATGAAAAAGTCAATCCTGGAGTAGGATGGGTGAGATGGGGAAAAGTAGGTATAGTCCTTTTCTGTACTGTGTTGACATCTCTAGATATCGTGGAGATCGTTGGAATTAAGACATTGGTTGAAGGTCCGTCTTGAAGATCTTTTGTTGTCGGATGAGGAGTCCAGAAGAGGATTACCGATGATGTTAAAGTTCCCGCCAACGAGTAGTCTGCCTTTTCTGTGTCGATTTATGGTGGAGATAAGTTTGTTGAAGAATTGAATTTGATTGGTGTTAGGGCCATAAACGTTCACCAATGTGTATGTAGTATCGTTGATAATTGCAGATCAGTACATGATAGCGACCTTGTGGGTCTGCTATTTCCGAAATAGTTATAAACTTCAGGGAGTCTCTTATAGCTGTAATTACGCCGTTCTTTTTTTTTTCCGGATTCGTCGCCATATATAATGTGGAGAACTGAGGGATGTGGAATTTTGTGATTTTAGAAGAGACGAAGCGGGTCTCCTGTAGGAATACAATGTCAGGTTGAATGGTGCCGACTTCTCTCGAAAGGAGGGACCTTTTGAAGGGGGGAGTTGAGGCCTCGGACATTTAGCGAAGATATAGTTATTTTATTGATTGTGGATGGTTTGAATGTCGTAGCTTCGGTAGTTCAAATGTTCTAAAGAGGAATGGACTTCTCTGTGGTGGAGGTAATGGACCAATAAGTGTGAGGTTCTGTGAGGCTGAGACTGATACTTTTGTGGATTGAGTGTTCAACTGTGCGGAGAGAGTTGTGGTGGGGGATAATGTTAGCGGACGATGAATGGTAGCTTGGAATATGAACAGGGGTAAAGAACAGGGGTAAAAAAGACTTGCCAACAACGCAAGTGACATGTGTAGCAGTATCTGCTACTGAGTATAGTGGAGGCGTGTGAAAGCATGACTCTTCCAAGAGCTCATGCTTGAGATGAGCTTGTGCAATCAGTTTGTTCGATCGATCAGGCCGATTGCCAGCTTGTGTGTTAAAGAGAAAAAAAGTTTGGT